GGGGAAGTCCCAGTCCCTGCACAAGAAAACGGAGGTGAAGAATTGGTTAAAGAGTTCTGCTTTCTCCACTGGTGCAACCGCCAAGCTAGCAAGTTGGGCAAACTGGAACCTGATGAAGTTCAATGTTGAGAAATGTAAAGTGCTCCGCTTCGGGACAAACAACCCCCAACACCCCTACAGGCTTGACAGCACCAAACTGACTAGCACCACGAATGAAAGGAACCCGGGGGTAATAATAGACCACAGTACAAATGTGAGCTGGCAGCACAATGCTGTAGCTAGTAGGGCAAATAATACTCTGGCATGCATCAATCAATGCATCTCCAGCAAGACCAAGGAGGTGATTCTTCCACTCTACTCGGCACTGGTGAGACTGCAGCTGGAGTACTGCAACCAGTTCTGAGCACCACACTTCAACAAGGATGTAGACAAGCTTGAGAGAGTCCAAAGAAGAGCCACCCATGTGATCCGAGTTTTAAAAGGCCTGCCATACGAGAAAAGGCTGAGGGATCTGGAACTCTTTGGCCTGAGGAAAAGGCTGAGAGGGGACCTGGTAGCAGCTTACCACTACGCTAGGGGAATACATTAAGGACTTGGTGAGCAACTGTTCACCAGGGCACCCGAGGGGCAAACCAGGAGTAATGACCACAAACTCCTGGAAGATCGATTCAGGCTCAACATTAGGAAAAATCTTCTTTATAGTCAGGGTGTCCAGACTGTGGAATAAGCTCCCTCCAGAGGTGGTGCAATCACCTACCCTTGGAAATCTTCAAGAGACTGGACAGTCACCTTGCTGGGTCACCTGACCCCCAGTTATCTTTCCTGCTTGGTGCAGGGGGCTGGACCCAATGATCTTCTGAGATCCCTTCTAGCCTTACAATCTATGACAATGCCTTAGCCCAGGGGTTCTCAAACTGTGGGTGATGACTTCCCCCCCAGGGAGGTAACAAGCAACTTAAAAGGGAGCCGCAAACTTCCCAGGGGATACGTGCGGTGGTGCAAGGAAGTGGCACGGAGTGGGGATGGCGGTGACAGCTGCTGCATGCAAACTCTGTCCCCTGCTGCCGCCATCCAGCACTTGAGGTCGCAGTATCACAAAGTTTGAGAACTCCTGCCTTAGCCAATACATTATAATGAGATTTTTAATAGGACAGTGCAACTGTTACCAAAAGGACAATTCATTATTCACAGGGCGTAGTAGTGGCTGGGATTGATTACACTCTCCCCATCAAAGACATGACCATTTTCAAAGCCCAAAATATTCAGCTGCAGTCTTTAGACTTGCCTACACAGGAGGTTCATGCACATTAAGCAGGAATGGGAATTTGTAGTGCACTAGCTACTCTGCACTAATTCCCTCTGGGAACACTCTCAGCATGCACACAAATACCTTGTATTAGGGAGACCCCACACAGCCCCATCCTCAACAGGCGTACAAGCAGGCACTCTGGGCCTCTAGAATGGCTTAGTTAACTGAGAAATAGTCGAGTCCAGCCAGGACAAAAGACAGATTGCAGAAATGAGCTGACATACTGAATATACCAGACACTGTCAGAGCCATTTCTGCTCTCTCATAATGGAGGTCCATATTTCAACAGTGTTCAATCTGTTCAGGTGGGAGTGGAGGCCACTGACAGGACACCATGCACCTGGAGTAACAGGCATGCCCAAAACACCATTTCTTTCTTCTCTTCAGTCTTTCAGTTATCCAAGCCTGAATCACCTGTCCCTTAACTAAATGAAGATACCAGCAGATGAGTCTGCCAGCTGGGAGTCCACAGTAGGTCAAAAGTCAGCACAAGCCTGTCACATAAATACACAGAACAGTGCACACTGGCAGAGACTGCTCCTCTGAGGGCTAAAAATCAAATATAGAAACACATGTAGTCCCTGAATAAGGTCCAGTCTAGAACCAAGGGACTCTAGGCTGGAGTCTAGAAACAAGGGGCTCAAATTAGAAATTGCTGATGTGGGTGAAACTTAATAGAACAAAACTTTTTTATTCAGGTTGAAGCCTGCAAGCAGCATATAGGTGCAGATGGGAAGAACTGTTATCACGGCTGCTCAGGTCAGGGTTCTCTCTCTGTGCCTTTCCACAGGCACCAGTTTTCTAATGGAGAGATTCAGATTACAAAAGGTCTGGGGTCTAGCTTTATTTGATGCTGTAATTCAACCAAACCTGTTTGCAAAATCCATGCCTGCTGTTTGATTTGGGATCTGCTCTCACCTTAAGTGGAGAAGCATGCTGTATGTCTGCTATATTAATTCAGTATTCTGTTTTCATAAACTCATTTCAGGCAGGAATACCGACCATGGACTGGAGCAAAACCATCAAAGCCTATAAAGACAAAGCAAAGCTTCATCATTCCAGAAGATCACTTTCTGCAAGAGACAAGCTACAGGGCAGATTTTAAGGTAATTATACTTGTTTACAAACCCCAAAGAAAATTCAGAGCCTGTTATTATGTAGTCTGGGTAGGAACCAAGCCTTGAACTCAACAAGTGCCCTCTCCTCATTCAGCATTGGGTCATTAGTCACCACCTGTTTTTCAGAAAACAAATTATAAAGAAAGATCACAGTGTTCGTGATAATACTGACTCAAAAACTTTAAATACACAGTACTTAGTTTTATGTTACTGGATATGATAAACTTAATATCCCTTGTGCATCTGTGTATGTATGGGGGGGAGGGGGTATCAAATTATGCTGCTTATATTATCTGTCAGGTTGTTTGCTGCCAGACTGCCTAATGCTGAGTTTACCAATTTGCAGATTTAAAATCTCAGCCTTAACATTAGTTGTGCACCACCAACTCCCCAATTGCAACTGGGCAGAAAGACTTCAATATCAAGCTACTGACACAGAGAAGAGGGCTGAACAACTACAGTAACTGGGACTGACCCTTATACGGTTATGAAAACCCACAGTTGATTAGTAACCTCCCAAAATACATTCCCTGGGCTTTTCTTCCAGTGAAAGAGACACTTGTTCATGACAGATGAGCACAAATCTCCTTGCTGACAAAGCACTATTAAGGAATCCTGGAAAACCAACAGGTAGAAATTCTTGCTTTGTTCAGTCATTTTCCCCAGTTCAAGGCCAGCAGTGTCTCAGAACGGATTACAAGTGACATTGCTCAGCAGTGTCTACAGTGCCAGAAGGCATTAAAACCCTCAAGGCTATGGCAGTTCAAAACCAGGTATGAAGTTGACCATAAATTGCACAAACTCAAACACCAGTGGGGCACAACCTAACAAGCAAGAGAAACTTGCCTTTTCCAGGGGCAAACCTATTTTCAAGTCAAGGTCCCCTCCAACCCTTGCTTTGAAGGCTGTGGGAAATATTTCATCTGGTTTCTGTAGTACACCAAAATAGTAATAACTAGGTGACACTCATGAAAATGACAGTGTGAAGGCTGGTAACCCCTATTTACAGATGTCAGGAACAGAAGCAACTTTCTTAGCTTAATAAAAAGTCCCTGCCCTGTCCATACCTTGAAAGAAGCTGGAACAGCTAGAACTACAACCCAACAAACTTTACACAAGAAAATACAGGTTTCAGAAATCTGTTCTATATCTTCTTTCCCCAGCTGTTCAGCTCTGTATTTATAAAGTAACCAATGCTGTAACATTAAAATACTACTGTCATGGGCCATACATCTGAGAGACTGCCTAGGCAGCTAAAAACACAGAAGAAACTGACTGACATGATGAGTGCCAACAAGAGAGTGAGGCAGGGCTTACTGCATTTACTCAAATCTAAGACTATCCTGAATTTAAGATGACCCCCCCAGTAATAAGATTCTCTATATGGAAAACTGATACATTTCTTATAACTTTCCAGGTACAGAATCTAAGTATTGGAGTGTTGTCTTGAATTAGTCTTCCACCTCCCACACTGCTACAGCAGGAAAAACAGTGGCTGGGGGGGGGGGGGGGGG